TGGTGCGGATGCAGCTCTAGATGGCTTTTGGAAAGCCATAAGCCCCTTGCCCCATAAGATACCAAGCCTTTCTTTAAAGCAGGAGCATGACCCTGTCCCTGCCCCTGCAAGGTCCTGAGGAGCTGTCCGAACCCTGTCTCTTATACACATCTAGATGTGTATAAGAGACAGCATGACGCCCCTTCAGGGATTAAAGGAAATAAATCTTTTGTTGCAATTGATAACTAGCACATAGTAGGTACTCAGTGAATGACCTCACCTCTCCCTGAGAGGGGCTGTTATTGTAGGTGGCAAGGTACAAGGCATGGTGGCACAACCAGAAAACGCCTGGACAAAAATCTGAAGGCACGAAAGCTCAGTGGTTAGAACTATGATCCCAGGGCTCTGGGTTGCCTGAATTCATATCCTGACTCTATTATTTACTACTCCTGTGACTTTGAGCATGGTATTTAACCTATCTGTGCCTCAGTTTCCTTACCTTTGAAGTGAGCATAATCACAGTACCTACTTTACAGCGTTTGGGAAATATTCATCTGGGTAAAGCACTTAGAACAGTGCTTGGCATGTGGTAAACATCCAATAAATGCTAGCAATGATGACTTTGACTAGCTCTCTGCATGTTCTTGGGCTGAGGGACAGCTCTGGGCCTTCAGGGGGCTGTTTCATACCGCAGACCCACTATTTCCTTGCAGAACCCCAATCAGATCTGAAAGGGCAGAACTCTCCGCCCTTGGCCCAGTTGGATGAGCTGTGGAGGACAGGCAGTCTCCCATCAGTGGGTAGGAGGGGACTTGAAAATGATGACAATGACACCTGGGAAACAGCTGGGAGTGGGGGGAGTAAGGAAAGTGCATGCTCTTAGGTTTGTGCGTGTGCGTGCACGTGAGCGTGCACACACACACACACCCCCCACTGGATTTATGTGCTTTTTGCATTTAAAGCCAGATTATGACTCACCTGAGTGAGTTCTTTTATTTCTCTTGCTTTGGCTCAAAATGAGGACCCACGCAAGGGACCCCTGAGTGACCCAGGAGTAATTCCCACCTTGATGGAGGACAGCCCTGGATACAGGCCTGAGGAATGCAGAGAGGACCACTCCATCCTCACGCAAGTGAAAACGCAGAGGCGCTCTCTGACCCAGCCAGAAATTTCACTCTGCAAGGTTTGGTTAGAAAACTACAGGAAGACCGGATTTTACCGGGAGAGGAGAGAGAGAGGGAGAAGCTAGGCGCAGAGAGAATAGCCAGAGACAAGCCACACCGACATCTGTAATCTAAGAATCGGGCCTCGCCGCGTTCTTTAATCCCTGCAACTCCAGGGACCTGCTTATTGTTCAGCCCGCGCCTGCCACTTCAACCAGGGAGCCTCCACCTCAGCGCCGCCGAGGTGTGCGGGGCTCTAATTGGTGGGGTGGAGGTTGCGAGCCCGGAGCCCTCCCTCCCCCGCCGCCCCACGCCGGCCCCCGCGCCTACCTGAGCTGGCGCGGTTCGCAGTCCACACCGGGCAGCAGCAGCCGGGCCGCCTGGCGGACGTCGTCGCTGTCCATGGAGAAGCTGCGGCGGTGGCCGGCGTGCGCCACGGCCACCCGGATCCACTCCATCAGCGGCGGCAGCACGAGGAAGGGCCTGCGGCGGGAGGAGGGACCCAGAGATGCGCGTTAGGGCCTCCCTGGAGGCAGGGGCTGCCGGCTCGGCCCCACCCCCTGCTCGGGGGATTGCCCCCCCATCTCCCGACTCCCCAGCCCACTCCCCGCTTTCCCTGGAGACCCTGCCTCTGAATTCCAGAGTAGTGGGAGAGCCTTTGGAGACATCCGGACCGCACCGGTGACCCCGGGGCAGGCTCTCTGGAATCCTTGGGCCTCAGTTTCCTCATCTGTAACCTGGGGATAATGTGACTAGGAAAGGCTAGGAGGTAACTGATCTGGGAATATTATCCCTTTCGGCGATCATGTGAACATAAGGATGAGTCACTTGAAGCACCAAGCGCAGGGTCTGGAGCGGCGGAAAACCAATCAGCGCCCGGTGTTATTTCTATTTGGGGCTCCCTGATTGTGGGCCCAAGCCTAAGGTGTCCGCTAGCGCTTCCTTCCCATCTGCAGCCTGGTCCCTGTTGTCTTTCTGGAGCTCTTTCAGGCTTCAGCTCTGCCCAGGCAACATGCTGCCAAAAGGCTTTAGCACCTGGAAAAGGCTCTCTAAAGAGAGCCAGGTTAACAGGCAGCCTTCCCCCAGACCCAGCCAGGCTGGGCAGCCGCCCAGTGGCGCCCACAGTTTGAGGCCCCTTGGACCTTGGTCACACCCCTGAAACTCTGAGAGCCTCAAGTTTCCTGCCTGCTAATTGGATCATGGTAGGCTGTTGCAAGCTTGTTGCAAGCATTAACTGAGACAATGCCTACCACTGAAGGACAACTTTCTAAGTGCAATGCATTTGTGCCATCTTCCTATTTCTTCCAATGATGATAAACTCTGTCCTCACATTAGGATTACTGGAGAAGATTTTGAAAAAGTAATGACACTTGAGTCCTGTCCCAGGCATTCTGATTTAATTGGTATAGGGTGCAGATGGACACAGGTAGTTTTTAAAACCTCCCCATGTGAATTTAATGTGCATCAGAATTATCTGGAGAGTTTGTTAAAATACAGACTGCTGGGTCTCATTCCCAGAGTTTCCGATTCGATAGATCAGGAGAGGTACCCAGGAAATGCATTCCTAACTGGTTCCTGATACGGATGCTGCTGGTCTGAGGACCACATTCTCAAAGAACCCCTGCTCTAAAGTCATCGTGAGAGGGCCTGGGAATCATGTGGCTCTATATCCAGCGATGGTGATTGTGTTAGAGTCCAAGAACTTAATTTTAACAGGCAGCCCCTGCGATTCTGATTTAGGTGGCCCAAGGACCACACTTTGAGAAACGCACTATGTAGATCCAAAAGGTTTCCTGCCATTCAGCAAGGGTCAGACGAGCATGAAGCCAGTGGGGTTCCCCAGGTGCAAAACTGAAGGAGGCCAGGTTGTGCAAATATATTCTGGGCATGTTTCTTGCCGTCCCCCGCCCTGGGGCTGCCATTCAGTCCAGCATGACCACCATGGCATTGAGAAGAGGATGACAGGTAGATGGGGTTACAAGTCAGCCAGCCCCCTTGAGAAATGCAGATGTCATGAGCTTCCCAGAAAGTTTTTGGTGGCAGGTGCCAGTTTTCCTAACGTCAGATCTATTTATCCGATGTTAATAATATTCAGCAGGTCAGCCATTTACAGTCATTCATGGTCTCATCTGAATGCCTAGGACCAACCTCTGTGCTAGTTATGATTATGCCCATTTCATTGATCAGGAGCATGATGTTGATTCAGGTTAAGTATCATGCCCTGGACCACAAGACTAGCAAGAGCTGGGAGTCAGACCCAAGTTATTTGACTGCATATCCTGTGTGCAGAAACCCCATGTGATATCGACATTCTGTTGTCCAACTTGGTAGCATGCACTCTGTTACTCAGCATGCACCTGTCACCCCAGGGGATCTGATCAGGTCATGGACTCTTGCTGGTATGCAATGGGCTAATTCCTGTTCATGCAGCTCAGCCTCCTGTCTGTAAGGCTTGAAGCCCTTTAAAAATCCACATCACATGTAACCTTCAAACCACAGGCTAAATCCCATTTCTCCCTAGATGTTCCTCCTGACTTTATCCCACTTGAATCCCTCGCATTGTGGGCCTCACCCCAGAGGACTCCTCTGGCCTTACCCGCTGCTTCTGCAAATGCCCCATTAGAATGTAAACTCCACCAGGGCGGGGAATGGGGACTTCTTGGATCACCACTCCTGCTGCAGCCCCAGGACGCTGCCCGGCACACTGCAGGCATTTAATAAATATTTGCTCATGTCACAGACTAAGATTTACCAATTTCTTACTCGGTGAAACCAATAAAATTGCGTTTCTGGACCTGTGGACCTATCTGTGGGGCAGAGTCCCAAGGATTTTCTGCCTGAATCAGCCTGCTTCTTAGGCTGTCTCCCTCATTCTCCCATTCTCTCCATCACCTAAACTGAATCAGGCACTCAATAAACACACATTGACTTGAAATTGAATTGGATTCTACTGTCTCAGGTGAGCAGAACTTATTTTTGTCACAGTGTTTCCATCACTGTTGGAAACCAGCCCCAAGTGCTCAGAGAACTCCTCTCTGGATTAGGTTTCAGAGGCGCCTCCCACCATCATTCTTTTGCTCAGTGGCCCCAAAGCACAGCCCACAACCCTTAGTCCCTGGGGGACTGTATCTCCATCACAGAACTGCCCTTGGGCTGCTGCCTTTCATGTTAGATGCCAAGCGAGGCCCAGGGCACACAGCCAACGCCTGGTGAATGCCAAAGAATAGAAAAAAAAAAAGGCTCTGCTGCCTTCAAAATAACACCTTTACCAAGACAGCTGGCAAGTCCCAGAGTAAGACACCTTGAACCACAGGATTCCAGCCTCTCCTGGAATTTTCTACGTACCTATTCTCTCCTTTCAACATTGCCTTCTTTTTGTCACTCTGACCTTAATAGTTTATAAGCTCATGAATTCTTTGCCAGTAACTCATTTAAAAATCTTCTTATCTTGTCTACTCAGAGGGGAAAAATAGCATTATTTGTGATGTTTTCTTTGGAGGAATTGGAGATGGGAAAGAATTCGAGGGCCCTGAGTTGAGGAGAGGGTGGAGAATGCTGAAGAAAAAATCTTGCATTCTCTTTATACATTTTTTTTTAAGAGAACAATGTTCCACTAGTTGTCTCCTTTATTCTGAAGTTGTTTGCAGTGACTAAAACCCAAAAGAAGCTTGAGGAGCTCATGGTTTAGTGAAGTGGTTCTTAGACTTCGTTGAACATCAGAATCACACGAAGAGCTTGTTAAAATGGCAACGGCCATGATTTTAAATCCAGCGTTTGGCTCCGATAGGTCTTGGGGTAGGGCCTGGGCATCTGCATTCTAAATAAGCTCCCCTGGAAATTCTGGAGCAAGGCAGGTTTGTTAATCCCTGACCGGGTGGCCTGAGATGAGCAGAGGAGGGAGATGGTCCACCCAAACAGGACAGTGGCCATCTACATCTTCACTGTGGTGTTAGGAGAGGTATATAGGGTGCAACTGGAGGCTCTGGAAGGAAAGAGAAAGCCGTGATGGGCTTCCTTGCAGGGTCAAGCCAGCACATCAGCTCAGGATGGTTGTTGAGCCCAGATTCAAGTAGGAGATGGAGAACATACACGGACACAGCCTTTCTCTGAAATGGTGAAGAGAGAGCTGGTGATGAGGCTGACCATCCAGGTTCCATTGGAAAAGGAGTTTGGCTGGGGAGTCTGGGTACTAGAAAGAATGTTACAGGATGTGGGGAAGGCCTGGTTTGGGAATCCGCAGAACTGAATCCCAGCCCTGGATCTGCCAGGAACTCACTGGAGGGCTCCTCTGGCCCATCAATCAACGTTTTGGCTTTCAGTGTCTTCACCTATAAAATGGGGTGAGTTTGGATCAGATGGTCTATTTCAGGGCTCAGCAAACCTTTTCTATAAAAAGCTAGCTAGTAAGTATGTTAGGCTTTATGGGCCATATGGTCAGTCTCTGTTGCTACTACTCAACTCTGCCATTGCAGTGAGAACAGCCACAGATGATACACAAATGAAGGAGCTTGGCTGTGTTCCAATAAAACTTTACTTACAAATGCAGATGGTAGGTCAGAGGTGGCTACCATTAGCCTGTTCACTTCTTTCCAATGCTAATATTCTTTGATTCTATTGGAAAAACCAGTTGCTGGGGCTTTAGGAAGTACCTAGTGTGTGGACTAGGGAAGATGGAGAGAAAACCATGGAAGTCCTAATGATAGACAGAAAGTTTTGGGGAGATCAGAAGATAGGACCCTCCCACAAAGAGGTCATGGTTGGATATGGGGAATATTGAGCCACAGGCATATCCAGAGGTAGTATATTAAAAGGTATTGAAAGGGTTGCTGAGGGTGAGGTTGGAGATGTGGTAAAGAATGTGGAGTAGACATGTAACCTAGGAGTGAGAACATCCATGGGGTCTGGAGTTCATCTCACACGCTAAACTGCCTTGTTCTGGGGTTCAGAGAAAATACCTATTATTATGGGCTGAACTGTGTTCCCCCAAATTCCTATGTTACAGCCCTAGGCCCCAGTACTCAGAATGTGCCTGTATTTGGAGAGAGAGCCTTTGAAGAGGTAATAAAGTTAAAATGAGGCCAATAGAGTGGCCCTAATCTGGTCTGACTGGTGTCCTTAGAAGAAGAGGAGATTAGGACACGAGAGACACCAGGGTTGTGTGTGCACAGTGGGGCAAGAGGGTGGCCATGCACACCAAGGAGAGCGGCCTCAGAGGAAGACAACCCTGCCAGCAGCTTGATCTGGGGCTTCCAGCCCCTCCAGAGTGGGGAAGAAATCAATTTCTGTTGTTTAAGCCACCTGGTCCATGGCATTTTGTTATGGCAGCCCCAGCAAACTAATATACTTGAGGTTGGACATTTTGAAGAAAACTTGAGCAAAGGGTCCCCAAACCAAGAAATCCTATTTTGAGGTTTCAGTCTGCAGTAGAGGGGCTTCAACTGGAAGCTCAAACTCCTTAGAAAGCTGATGGTGTTTGGTTTGTT